GGAAAAAAGGTTTGGAACACTTGGTTTAAACAATTTTTATTCAATTAAATTATGTAGTACTTCCTAGATGAAAGGATCCTTTGTTTTTCATCTTATTTAAACTCTATTAAAGCTGTAGCGACCATAGAATTGACAAGATTTGGAAAATGATTAGATAAGGAGTGAAAAGCATTTATTAATCACTTAGTATGTGCCAAGCACTGTGCTAATACAAAAGAAAAATGGTCCTGGCGCTCAAGAAGCATACATTCTGATTGGGAGAAGACAAGATACATAGAGGAGAGATGCCTTCTAACATCTTATTCAAACTCTAAGTAAAGCTATTTCTAAACTACCTTGTTTCTTTCATTCTTTTTTTATAGAGCTATCAGAAAGATACTCCTTACCTTCCTCAATCTGACTTTCAATCATCACTCTGTAAAATGTTATTTTATATATAACATAAATACATTATATTATGCATATACTTATTTCTTCTGTTTCTTGACAAAGGGAACCACAGTTTTCCACCACCATTTTATGAAAACTCTTCATATGCTTGGGAAAATATTTAGTCTTTGAGCTTCTGCAACAAACAAAACTAAGTCCTTTAACCTTTTCCCAAAGATCCTCTTTTCCAACTCTTTAATCATCTCTGTGGTTCTCCTATGACCTCTCTCCCAATGTTACATTCCTTGTTTTCCCTCAGTGGGGTGTTCCTTCTACCCATCCCACCACCCCCTCCAGTGCACTGAGTCAACGGAAATCACCCATTCTTGCCAATAATATAAAAAGATATCTTAAAGGGAAAAGAAGCAAGTACAATAGCCAGAAGCAACCACCAGTATGCTTGACAGTGCAATCTGCTATGGAAGGATTATCCCACCCCACCACCCTCACAAAAAATACTCCATTGAAACAAGAGTACAATACTCAGTTCTTCTCAATAAACTACAATATGCAAGTCACTGGGAATATAAAGACAAAAATATTCTATCAGTCAGCCAATAAGCATTAAGTGCCTTCTATGTGCCAGGCACTGTGCTAAGCACCAAGATGGGGAAAACGACAAATATGCAAATAATATAAAATACATACAAAGTAAATACAATAGAAGGCCATTTTGGTGTAGAGGAGGCACTAACAGCTGTGGGAGAGGGGATGATAGTGATGAGGAAAGACTTCATGTAGGGGGTTAGAAAGGGAGATCCTTTAGAAGGTGGATCTGAAGAGGAAGAGCATTGCAGGAAAAGGACACAGTCTATGCAAAGGCTTAGAAACTGGAGATGGAATGTCTCTCATGAAAGACAGCAAATCAGGCAATTTGGGGTAAACACAGCTTGCACGAAGTACAGCAATGTTTACACATTATTATTAAGTCTAGAAAGGTAGGTTGGACCACTATTACAGAAAACCAATGGTGAAGCATGCTAAATTCTAGGCCTGGAAGTCACTGCCCCTCCTAGCACTACGAAGGGCAGTGACTTCCAGGCCTAGAATTATTAGACCTGAGTGTTCAAATCTGGCCTCAGACACTTACTGGGCAATTGGGGGGCCCTGAGCAATTGATTTAATCTCTGTCTCTGTCTCAGTTTGTTTATCTGTAAAATGGAGATAATAATAAGCACCCTGGTTGTTAGGAGATCAAATGAAATAACATTTGTTAAGCATTTAGCACATGCCTGGCACATATTAGGAGCTTAATAACTTTTTGGTTCCTTCCTGACAGTAAGGCAATGGGGGTGGAGGGGAATTCCATGAGGAACTGGGTATAAAATGTATAAAATGACAAATACATATTTTTGGATATGACAAATGTGGAGAATTTGTTTTGCTTGACTATGTATAATTAATTGTTCAAGAGTTCTTTTTCAATGAAGGAGATGCAAGGGAGATAAACAGATTTTTGTTCATAAAAAATGAATTTAAAATTAAAGAAACTAATGTTGAAAAAGAAAGAATTGAAGTCAAACTATGAAGGGCTTTTAAATGTATACAGGAGGGGCAGCTAGTTGGTGCAGTGCATAGAGCTCCAGCCTTGGAGTCAGGAGGACCTGAGTTCAAATGTGACCTCAGACACTTGACACTTAACTAGCTGTGTGACCCTGGGCAAGTCATTTAACCCCAATTGCCTCACCAAAAAAAAAGCAAAAAACAAAAAAAAATTTTAAAAATTAAATGTATACAGGAAAGTTGGTACTTTACTCTAGAGACAATAGGGTGCCACTGGAATTTTTCAAAGAGGCAGCCATATGTTCAGATCTGTGCTTTAGAAATATCACTGGCTACTGTGTAGAGGACGGATAGGAAAGACTTGAGGCAGAGAATCCAATGAGGAAGCCATTTTAAGGGTCAAAATAATATATGAGGAGAGCTAGTAGTTATGAGTTGAAAGGAGAATGGAGAAAGGTATGTCGTAGAGTTAGAATCATGGTAAGAAGATGGTTGTGAACATAGGTGAAGGTGATGGAATATATGTTTTGAAGGATGGTATCACCCTCCACAGAAATAGGACATTGGAGAGAGGGGTGGATTTGGTGGGAAACATAAGGAGTTTTGAAAATAGTGAATTTGGCAAACCATTCCAGTATCTCTGCCAAGAAAACCCCAAATGGGGTCACAAAGAGTCGCACATGACCAAAATGACTGAACAACAAAAATAGATAATCCAGCAGGGGCAATGTCCAATAGACAGATTGTGACGTGGGACTAGAACTCAGGAGCGAGTCAAGGGATGGACATACAGATCTGGTGTAATTTGCATATGGATGCTAAGTCTACTAGTCCAGGGTCCAAACCACACCTCTGACACTTTCTAGTTGCGAAACACCCTGACCCCCCCCCCCCCTAAATCACTCAGAGCTTCAATTCCTCATCTATAAAATGCAGATAAATAAAACTTGTATTCCCTACCCCATAGGGTTGTTGTAAAGCTTAAATGAAATAATGGAAGAAAAGGGCTTTGCAAACTTTAAAGCTATTCAAATGACTGTCGTTATTATAGGTTACTAGATTAAATAGATTTCTACTCCAGATATGTTTCTTTGGACAACCTCAATCCATTTCATTTTGGGTACAAGGACATATGATCCTTGTTGTTTTTTCAACACATATATTTCTAGACACTTTCTTAAATCATATTAAGGTGAAATCTTGACTGTATCCCACCTGTACATGCCTGTTTTCCCAAAATTGTTTGGCATCATCCTGAGAACAGGGGCAGGTGTACAGAGGTAAATCTTTCATTACACAAGGAGAAAACATAAGTATGAGAAATAGGCACCATTTATTCAGGTGTTAAATACACCATACACATATTTCTGTTGGCTCACTAAGGCCACTAGGTTTGGCCTGTATAAACCATCTTTGTCCAACTGACCAATGCCAAGCCCCACCTGTCCACTTCCTCTGATCTCTCTCCAACAGATTTTCAACAAACAAAACAAAACAACCCAAACCTGACCCCAGGAAAAAGATACAAACATTAAATAAAACTTGGTCCCTGCTGTCATGGTCTTAAAATGACTGTACTCTCTGAATTGTCACTACCTCTTCCCCAGCAGACAGCTGAGATGCTCTTCCTGTCCCTCAGTAGCACTATGCAAGATTTAATGCTTCTAAAAGAAGAAATAGTTGGTCAGGTTCTTTTCTCTCTTCTGTGTAGTCATTAAAGCACCTACTTTAAAACTGAAGGTAAGGGGTGTCTAAGTGGCATAGCCAATAGAGCACCAGCCCTGGAGTCAGGAGGACCTGAGTTCAAGTCCAGTCTCAGGCACTTGACACTTCATAGCTGTGTGACCCTGGGCAAGTCATTTGACCTCGACTGCCTCACCAAACAAAAAAAAAAAAAGGAGGTATTTTGCCTTCATTTCAGTCAGTCATTCCTTCATTCAATAACTTAAACTTATTGAAACCCCACTACAGGAAAAGCAGCAGTGTGGAAAATAAAAAGTGAAGACCAAGAGGTGTACCCCTCACAGTCAAAAAGTCATTCATTCAACAAATACTTACTGAGTCCCTACTGAGGACAAGGCATTGTGAGAGACTCTAGAAGTCCAGAGAGTTAGCAAGGCTTTGGAAATGCAGCATTTGTTAAGAAAAGTGAAAGAGAAGACAGCATCAACTGTCTTAGATGTTGGAGGAAGGACCTGAGCTAGGCACAGAAGGGCAGAAAGCCACACCTGTTACACATCTTCTCTGAGCTAGGGACTTCAAAAAAGTTATACTGTCAAGGCCTAACCAAACGTTTTGCTTTCCTGGAACTCATCCTGGATCTGAGAATTAGGGGGGAGAGGCATTCTTTCCCTGCCCCAACATCTGTAAGCTTTTTCCAGCGCCTCCCTTTCCTCCAGTCCTACACCAAGAACATGAGTCAAGTGAGGACAACACACGGCTAGAGCCTTGGAAGGGAATCTGGGGTGATGACTCTCCAGGAGAGGTAAAACTGTTCCCAGCCAAAGTCTGCAGCAGCAAATCTAATTGGGTACCAAAAGTCCCTGCACGCACAGACCCAAACACACCACGCACTATCAGGGGCAAAGAAAGGGAAAACTTCCTATACCCCCGACCCATTTTTTTCTCTTTTTCTGTTGAAGGAAAGAACGGAGGAGAATAAGGAAGGAAGAAGGGGAAAAGAAGGGAAGTAGGATGGGGAACAAAGGAAGGGAGGTTAGAAGAAGTGGGAAGGGAAGATGGGGAGGAAAGAAGGGGAAGGAAGGGTAGAGGAAGAGAAAAAGAAAGGAAGGAGAGAAGTTGGGGAGGAGAACAGGAAGAAAGGAGGGAAGGTGACTGGAAGAGGGGAAGGAAAGGAGAGAAAAGGGGGGGAGGAAGAGGAAGGGAGAGCGAGAGGAAGCGGGGGAGGGGAAGAAGGTAAAAGCCAAGAAAGGGCAGGTTCCTCTCTTCTTCTCTTTTCTCTCCCTCTTTCCCAGGAGAGGAAAGAAGTTAGAGGAAAAGGAGAGGGGGCTACTTCAGAGAAGAAGATTTTGGTGCCAAGCTAGGAACTACCGCACCGACCCCTGTACCTGCCAAAGTGTCCGACTTGGTCAAAGATTAGCTCGAAGTTGTGGGAACTCATGTTGCCTGGTTGCCTGCTCCAAGGGAGTGAGTGCCCCAAAGCCGAGCAGCTTGGAGTGCACTCGTCGGCCCGCCTTCCCTCCTTATCCCGCCCAGCCCAGCCTAGGGCGTTGCCCTCAGAGACCACCCCCAAACCTTCGTCCCAGCTCCGAATATAAGCCCTTGGGCATGCAGACATAATGACAGACTGGCACCCCAGTCTGCTCGGGCTCTACATACCCTTCCCCCTCTCCCTAGTGCCTAAGCCCTTGATCTGAGTGTCTGGCTCTTCCCTTCAGAAGCTCTGCGGCCAGCTGCGTGACTCTGTGTGTGTGTGTGTGTGTGTGTGTGTGTGTGTGTGTGTGTCTGTGTCTGTGTGTGTGTCTGTGTGTGTGTGTGTCTGTGTGTCTGTGTTGTGAAACAGGCATGACTTTATCATCCTGTTGCACCTGGAAAGCCAGAGTTGGGCAAGCTGGCTTGGGGCGAAGGTTCATCCCTCTAGTATTTCTGGCTGCTACCCCTGCCTACCCAACTGTCCTTTGTTTTCCTCTTGCCTTGTGTTGCCTATTTTCTGTGTCCTCCCTACTGTCCTCTCCAGTGCCTATCTCCCTCAGTTGTACCCTTGTGCACCCTCCCCTATCCCACCATGTTGGTGGCAGCTAGATGGTACAATTAATATAGTGCTGGACGAAGAGCATGACCTGAGTTCAAATTCATGCTGGGGCAAGTCACTTAACCTCTCCCAGCATTAGTATCCTCATCAATAAAACATGAATACTAGATGGCAGAGTAAGAAGTAAGTCATTCTCACCCTCCCTCAGTGACCTCTGAAAGCCCAGAAAATATCGCCCCAGGAAAAACTCTGGAACAGCTGAACCAGCAGTACGATGTAGTGCAGCAGTCTTGTAGCCCAGGAAGCTTGGGGGATTAGTGGGAAAGGCCCGTCTCACTCTGGGGGATGGGGAGATCCTAAGCCTGAGGATGGTGGAGCAGGCAAGCACCAACAGCAGGACCCCCAAGTGCCTCAGTACCGGCAAGGGAACCTGTAAATACCAGCTTGGAAAACCACCACTTGAGACAGTGTTCTCCAGCAGCCAAATCTGCCAGTGCCTCAGCAAAACTCTGGGAAGCACAACTCCAAGAGGTAAAACTCCAGGCTGATAGACATCCTCAAGCAGGGAAACATCCCTGTACAAGGCCCAGGTAAGCAGGAGCCACAGAAAGGAGCCCAAGGCCTATGTCAGCAGGAATCAAAGAAAGGAACCCAAGACCTAGATCAGCAGGAGCCAAAGAAAGAAGCACATGGCCTGGGTGAACAGGCATCCTCCAGGGGCCAGACTCCTCACCCCTCCCCCTAGAGCTCCAGTGATGCGGATCCCAGCCTAACACCAGGTAAGCTGCCAGAACCCTACAGCCTCCAACTGCCAGCATCTGAGGCCCCAGCACACAAAACCAGTGACCAGGCCCCGGGCTCCCAGCACAAGAAGCTTGGGTCAGTGCCCCCTGCTCTCCAGCAGAAGAGCTCAATTTTTTTAAAAGTCAAGAAATAAGCAAACGCTATGAGCAAAAAGAGATGGACAATGACCATAGATTCTTATTATGGGGATGGGGAAGATGAAGGCAGAAATTCAGAAGAGGACAACATTGTCAATATACCCACATCTGAAACCCCAAAAGGGAATATGAACTAGTCTCATATCCAAAAAGCCTTCTTGGAAGAGGTCAAAAAGGATTTTAAAAGTCAGATAAGAGAGGTAGAAGAAAAATTGGGGAAAGAAATGTGAGGTGTGCAAAAGAGAGGCAACAGCTTGGAAAAAAGAAGGACAAAAATTAACTGTAGAAAACAAGTCCCTAAACAAATACAACTGGCCAACTGGAAAAAAATACACTGAAGAAAACAACTCCTTAAAAAGCAGAATTGGCCAAAGGGACAAGGAGGCACAAAAACTCACTGAGGAGAACTCCTTAAAAAGTAAAATGGGCCAAATGGAAAAGGAGGCACAAAATCTAATAGAAGAAAATAATTCGTTAAAAATTAGAATTGCCAGGGCAGTTAGGTGGTACAATGGATAGAGAACCTGCCCTGGAGTCAGGAGGACCTGAGTTCAATATTGGCCTCAGACACTTGACACTTATTAGCTGTGTGACTCTGGGCAAGTCACTGAACCCTATTGCCTGGCCAAAAACAAAACAAAACAAAAAATAAATAAAAATAAAAATTAGAATTGGGCAAGTAGAAGCTAATGACTCTATGACAGAGAGAGAATCAGTCAAACAGAAACAAAAGAATGAAAAAAATAGAAGAAAATGTAAAATAACTCATTGGTAAAACAACTGACATGGAAAATAGATCCAGGAGAGACAATTTAAAAATTATTGGTCTATCTGAAAACCATGATGAAAAAAGAGCCTGAACAATATCTTTCAGGAAATCATCAAGGAAAACTGCCCTGAGGTCCTAGAACCAGAGGGTCAAATAGTCATCAAAAGAATCCACTGATCACCTCCTGAAAGAGATACCAAATTGAAAATGCCGAGCAATATTGTAGGCAAATTCCAAAATTATCAGATCAAAGAGAAAATATTGCAAGCAGCCATAAAGCAATAATTTAAACATCATGGAACCACAGTCAGGATTGCACAGGACCTTATAGCTACTACATTAAAAGATCAGAGGCCATGGAATACAATATTCTGTAAGGCAAAGGAGCTTGGATTACAACCAAGGATCAACTACTCAGCGAAATTGAGCATAATCTTTAAGGGGAGGTGATGGATATTCAACAAAGTAGGAGACTGCCAAAACTTCCTGATGAAAAGACCAGAGCTCAACAGAAAATTTGATCTTCAAATACAAGACTCAAGAGAGGCATAAAAAGGTGAACAGGACACAAAAAAACATGTTATTAATAAAGGCAAACTGTTTACATTCCTACAAGGGAAGATGATTTGTAACTCTTGAGAACTGTGTTGTTATTACACCATTTAAAAAGGGTATACATAGACAGAGAGTGTGAGTATAAATTGACTTTGATGTAATGATAAAACAAATCTAATTAAGTGGATTAAGTGGATCTAATTAAGGGATTGTACTGGGAGAAAAGGAAAGGAAGAGGCAGACAAGGGTAAATTACATCACATGAAAAGGCACAAAAACCTATGACAGTTGAGGGAAAGAAGGGAGGGAGATGAGCATTGTTCGAACCTAATTCTCATCAGATTTGGCTCAAGGAAGGAATAACATAATCAATTAGGTATAGAAATCTAACTTACCCCATAGGAAGTGGGAGGGGAAAGGGAAAAGAAAAGGAGGGGGTGAATAGAAGAGAAGGAAGAAGTAATAAGGGTAAAGGTGAAGAAAAGGAAGGGTGGACTGAGGGAGGCAAAACACTAGTGAGGAGGGAAAGGGAGAAAGGAGAAAGAAAAGCATAAACAGGGGGAAAATAGAATGGAGAGGAAGACATAGATAGTGATCATAACTGTGAACATGAATGGGATGAGCTCTCCCATAAAACAGAAGCTGATAGCAGAGTGGACTAAAACCATAATCCTACTATATGTTTTTTACAAGAAACACATCTGAAGCAGAGGGATACACACAGAGTAAATGTAAAGGGCTGGAGCAGAATATACTATGCTTCAGCTGAAGTAAAAAAAAAAAAAAAAGCAAGGGTAGCAATCCTGATCTCAGACAAAGGAAAAGTAAAAACAGATCTAATTAAAAGGGATAAGGAAGGAAACTACAACCTGCTAAAAGGATCCATAGACAATGAAGTAATATCATTACTGAACATATATGCATCAAGTGGTATAGCATCCAAATTCCTAAAAGAGAAGTTAAAGGAGTTACAGGAAGAAATAGATAACAAAACTGTACTAGTGGGGGGCCTCAACCTCCTCCTCTCAGAACTAGATAAATCCAACCATAAAATAAACAAGAAAGAAGTTAAGGAGATGAATAGAATTTTAGAAAGTTAGATATGATTGACATCTGGAGAAAATGGAATGGGGATAGAAAAGAAAATACCTTTTTCTTGGTGGTACATGGTACCTACACAAAAACTGACCATGTCCTAGGGCATAAAAACCTCACAATCCAATGCAGAAAGGCAGAAATACTAAATACATCCTTTTCAGATCATGATGCAATAAAAATTACATGTAATAAAGGGCCATGGAAAGATAAACTAAAAATTAATTGGAAGCTAAATAATCTAATCCTAAAAAATGAGTGGGTCAAAAAACAAATCATAGAAACAATCAATAACTTCATCGAAGAGAATGACAATAATGAGACAATATACCAAAACTTATAGGATGCAGTGAAAGCAGTTCTTAGGGGAAAATGCTTACATGAATAAAATAGAGAAAGAAGAGATTAATGAATTTGGCATGCAACTAAAAAAGCTAGAAAAAGAATAAATTAAAAATCCCCAATTAAATACCAAATTAGAAATTCTGAAAACCAAAAGAGAGATTAATAAAATTGAAATTAGGAAAACTATTGAACTAATAAATAAAACTAAGAGCTGGTTTTATGAAAAAAAACAATAAAATAGATAAGCCTTTCATTAATTTGATTTAAAAAAAGAAAGAAGAAAACCAAATTGCCAGCATAAAAAATGAAAAGGGTGAATTCACCACCAGTGAAGAGGAAATTAAAACAATAATTAGGAGCTATTTTCTCCAATTGTATGCTAATAAATTTGACAATCTTAGTGAAATGGAAGATTATTTACAAAAATATAAATTGCCCAGATTAACAGAAGAGGAAATAAAATACTTAACCCCATTTCAGAAAAGGAAATTGAATAAGCCATCAATGAACTCCCTAAGAAAAAAGTCTCCAGGGCCAGATGGATTTCCAAGTGAATTCAATCAAACATTTAAATAATGACTAATTCTAATACTATATAAAACTATTTGGGAAAATAGGTGAAGGAGTCCTACCAAATTCTTTTTATGATACAAATATGGTGCTGATAGCTAAACTGGGAAGAGCCAAAACAGAGAAAGAAAGTTATAGCCATATTTC